CCCGATGCGGGGCTGGATCCCAGGATCCTGAGATCACGACCTGAGCCGAAGGCAGAGGCTTAACCACTGAGCCACCCAGGTGCCCCCACTTGTACGCTTTTTTTATCCCCCCTGGAAAAAGCTGCCTTGTTTCCATATGGTCCCTGGCTAGGGAGACCCCTGGCTAGGGAAAGGGCTCCAGGGTCACTAAAAAGCTGCACAGGGGCGGAAGGGAGAGGCTCAGGCAGAAGCCCTAACACCAGGGGAACGCCAGAGGCACCCCTCAAGGCCCGCTGGGCTCTGGGGGCTCCTAATTCCTGCTTGATTTTGAGCCTTTCCAGAGACTGGCCCAGGCCAGCCTGCAGAGGAGAGTGGGGTGGCCTCCTCCTTCCTGACGCTTTTCGCCTCTTATCCGGGAAGTGGCTCGTCAGGGAGCCAAAGGTGGGGTCTGGATGCCTGGGCGGAACCCAGGCCTGCAGATCACCCGCGCCTGGGGCAGGTTCTTGTCCAGGACCGTGGCGACCGCGGGGCGTCCTGGGTATTACCTCTTGTCTTGGGGCGGCGTGCACAGGCCCGGGAAGAGGGCACGTTTTCCGAGCTGGTTTTGCATTTGGGAGAGCTAGGAGGCCTCCTGCTTCTCCTCAGTCGACGCCAGAGGACGTGGCCGGGGACCTTCAGAGCCACATCGTCACGAGGCAAACAGGCCCAGAGAGAGGCAGGTGTCGGAGCCCCGCAGATGAGTGTTGTGGCTGGAATAATTCCCGTGAATCTGGGGCTCATGGTTGATGGCAATGAGGAGCTAAGTGCACAAAAACAAAACAAAACAAAACAAAACAAAGAAAACAAAACACTAGTGTTGGCTGGTCCTGGAGGCAGGGGATGCTGCGACGATGGCTTTGAAGGTTGCGACTGGAACCAAGGCTGCGGGAAGGGGTGGCCTTGGGTTTGTTCCCCGATCCCCCCACACTGTTGTAGCAAGAAATGGATCCCCGGGAACCACCACCGCAGGGCTATACCCGGAACCATGTTGGAGAATCTTTAGTCATTACCTCGTGAAATACTGCTTCTCCCTCTTTGCCGTCTCTCCTTTCATGTGAGGATGCAAGGTCACATAAGATCTTTTCACTGTGGCTAAAATGTCTCTTCTATTCTTATATGTTGAACTCTTTTTATCTCTCTTTAATAGAGAATATTTTCTTCTTTCCTTGGTCCATTTACCGACCTTCTCTTACCCTATGTCCGGAAGTCTTAATTTGAGTTGTTATTTTTCAACTCTAGAATTTAATTTGATACTTTTAATAGATGGCGCTTCTCTACTGAAATTCTCCTTGTCTTCTAGTTTCCAACATGTTAATCAAAATTATTTTAAATCTCATGCTTCATAACTCCATATCTGAGCTTTTCAAATTATTAAATCCTAGACATTGTGTTTAAAATACTGTAGAAGTTCTGGCTGCTTTTCCCCAGTGACAGGGTGTTTGCTTTTGTCCCGCATCTCAAATGGCGCAGATCACTTTAATCCAATCAGGGGTTGAGGTAACTTTGATCTGGGCTTCAATATTGTAAGGCCTATTTATAGTCAACCAGTTTGTTCTTTTAGGGACTAGGATTCAGGGACCCCAGCCAAAAACACAGGGTATTTACCAGAGCTCCTTCCTCCCCCTTAGCAGGGTGTGTTTTCCCGCCAATGAGGCCCCAGAAAGTGCTGCTTGGTTTTGTCAGCTTTTTACAGATCACTTTCTAACCAGTGTCATACAATCAACTCTATGCTGGTTTTGAATGCGCCAAAACCTGAAGGGAGAAAATGGTGCTAAACAACTCATTTCTGTTTCCCTAGATCCCTTGCTAGCCCCAAATTCCAATTTTTATCTCCTTAGCTATCTGAAACTGCTAGAAATTCAACTTGGCTTCCTTCCCCCTTAACCACCACGTACACTCTGCTTCTCAGCATTCTCTTTTGATGCCAAATATTAATCCACACATGCCTTGAGGGGAGAAAAGGGGTGGAAGTTTGGGTTCCTCTCATTGTGTTTCCCTGTTTTTCTGGTTTTGGCATCTCAAGTCCCAACTGCTCTGATAGCCTTCCTATTCCTTAAAACAAGAGTGTCAAAACACCATTCACTATTCTCGTTGTCGTTGGTTGGAGAGTTGGTCAGATACAAGCTCATAGCCAGAAGCAGAAGTCCTTGAATATTTTTTATTTGCATATCACTTAATATGTGCTCTTTATGCAACCCAGACATCAATTCTTAATTTGAAGTGTGTGTGTGTTTTTATTTTCTATTTTGTTAAAGCTTCTTTTTGATTTATAGACATATTTCCTATGTCTGTCATCAAATCTATTAGTCTTTTCCTTGCATTAAATGCTTTAAAAAATTCTTCCCTTACTTTCTTCAGACATTTTTCTATTTTCTCCTTTGTTTTATTTTTGTTTAAGCTTAACTTTTAAATTTATCTAAATTTAATTTTGGTGCATAGAATGTTAGGGAACTAACTTACTTAAAAAATATTTAACAACTATTTGTTGAATAAAACATTTTTCTCTACTGCGTTGGAATTTCACCTTTTTCATATAGGAAATCATTGTACTCTGATTTGTTTCTGAGCTCTCATTAATATCATTATTATTGCACTTGTAATTTACTGTTTCAGTTGTTCAACTGTAGTCATCCACTTTAGATTCAAGTACCTTCTCAAAGGTTTTATTTGTCAGTTTTGTCTTGGCTGTTCATGTCACGAATTCCTTGCCTACGGTGTTAGAAGTGATTTCTATCTAGACTAAAGTAGTAACCATGGGGATACAGAACAAGAACAGAATGAGTGACAGTGAGGGATTGAGGGATTCAGAGACCAGAAATGGCTTCTCCCATGATGCAGCCTTCTGGCTTGGGAAACTGGTAGAATGGTAGTGTCATTAACTAAGATTGGTAATATAAGAGAATCAGATTATAGTGGAAACCAGGGGTTATCTGTTGAAAGAACAGAAGCAGGGATAGCATAGATAACTAAAATACAGGTGATGTTTCAAAAAGGCTTTATTGGCTAGTAGGATAGAAAGTTGATTTGGGAAAGTTAAAAAACAAAAATAAAAACAAACAAAAAAAGCAAGTAAAATCTAGCTTTGAGTAAGTATGAAATGAAATTGGTTGTGGCACCAGTTCTGAAAGATGTAGGATTTTTAAGGAGCCGTCCACAGTAGCCTTTTTTATATGATCTGCAATGTGAGATATGTTATTGGGCTGTAAAGAGTATTTGCAGCCAATTGAAGAGCCTGAGCTTGGGTGTGCAGGAGGCAGACTGATCAAGTTTGGGAGGTTTTTGGGACAAAATAGTTCCAAGTGAGGAAGTAGAAGCTACTAGCTAAAAACTATGAATAGGACCCCATAAATTCTAGTTTTGTAAAGAAAGAAATGAAGCCAAGCAGATTATTGCAAATGTCAAATATGATTTGAGCTGAAAGAGTTTTGTAAGCTCTATATCACAATAAGGTTGTGTTTTTATTGCTTGGTCATTTATGTGAAGGGAATGGTGGAGCTGGGGTGAGCCCTGACCCCCTCTGTCTAGCTATACTCTGCAGCCTGAAGCTATAACAGTTTCCCAACAAAGAGCCAGGAGTCCCCAGTTCATAAGGAGAATGTGCAGCTTCTTAGTATCTTTCACCTGTATCTATACTAACTAGTCTTCCTTTATTTGTCCTTAAAGAGACATAGAAAACATCAACTTGAGGGATGCCTGAATGGCTCAGTTGGTTAAGCGGCTGCCTTTAGCTCAGGTCATGAGGATCTAGTCCTGCATGGGGGCTCCTTGTTCAGCAGGAAGCCTGCTTCTTCCTCTGCCTGCAGTTCCCCCTGCTTGTGCTCTCTCTCTTTCTCTGACAAATAAATAAATAAAATCTTAAAAAAAAAAAAAGAAAGAAAATATCAATGTGAGTTCTATAAACTAGGTATAAAACATTGTTTGTGCTAAATACAAAGAATAGAGAGGGGGGAATTTTTTTTTTAAGATTTTGTTTATTTATTTGACAGAGATCACAAGTAGGCCGAGAGGCAGGCAGAGAGAGAGGGGGAAACAGGCTCCCCGCTGAGCAGAGAGCCCCATGTGGGGCTCTATCCCAGTGATCACAACCTGAGCTGAAGACAGAGGCTTTAACCCACTGAGCCACCCAGGCGACCCTGAGAGGGGGAATTTTTAAGGGATCTGTTTCAACAAGGGTTCTCTCGCTTCTTTGACTTTGGACATGTCCCTCTCCCTACTATTTGGACCACAGAATCCGAAATGCAGAATTTTAGTCTGGGGAGAAATTGCTTGATTCATTGACTCCGTCTACTTTTTTTTTTTTTTTTTTTCATTTAATAATTGAGCCAAATGAGGAACAGAGACAATAAGGCTGAAGTCACCTATACATCTAAAGAGAGTTAAACCCAGGAAACCCAGTTTCCTTACAACAGATTTAGATACTTTCACTATTCTGTAATGATTAGAAAATTTGTATTAACCTACTGGATTAACTTACTGTATCATTTTGCATATTGTGCCCCTCCCCCGCCCTCCTTTAAGATTCAGCAAAATTTTTAATGTGGAACGATAAAAAGTGGTTTCGATCCTCTCTCTTCAGAGTATCAGATTTCTCAAAAAAGCTGACACAGAGCACTTTTGTAACCAAATTTAATGTGAAAGCACTGAGAGTATGCAAATAAGGCACAAAGCCAAACTTTAGAAATGAGCTAAAGACATAAAGAATTAACATGGTGCCATTTTAAGATTTGACTCTAGTCCTGTATTCCTATTCTTTTCTGGTTCAAAAAGCCACATGCAGCCCTAACTCCCAACAGTCTTGCCAGTGTTGTAGAGGCGCACCTGGGCTGGCAACAGACAGAGCGAGCTACTTACCAACTCTTGTTTTTTTTTTTGGCATTGTCTGTTCAGACATGCTCACTGCTCCCCCCATCCTGTTCTGCTTCAGTGTCAGAAGGAAATGAAGCCACAATGAGAACAAAAAGAGCTGTCACACCTTTTGTCCCCTGCTTCCTCCTTTTCTCCTCACAGTCCTCCCCACACAGAGTTACTCCACCCTAGTGGGACTCTAGTGTGACATCCTCGCCTGCACGAAGGAGGAATGATCAGCAGGGACAACAGCTGCAAACAAGTGACACCCAGAAGGCAGGAGCTTCTGTAAGTGCTTGGACTGTGCAAGACCCAAGCCATGGCATTGTCGCTGGAAGAGTTCGTTCACTCCCTTGACCTCAGGACGCTTCCTAGGGTCCTAGAAGTCCAGTCAGGCATCTATTTTGAAGGTAAGCACCCTCTTCTCCCTTGGCTGCTAGAAACTGCTAATAAGGTATGCACTTTTGGGAACTGGAAGGGGAAATTTTAATAGACAATATGTGAGTTCTGTTGAAAGAAAGGTAATCACAAAAGAGAGAAGGTAATTAACGGACAGGTGGTTACAATCCCAGAGTACTAGAGAGAAGAAACTAGATAGGACTCTGGGGTAGGTAAGGGAAAAGGAATTAAGTGAAGCTTTTTGAGCTTTTTTGTAGGCCTCTTAACAGTCCAACATGTCTCTTCTTTGAAATGGGTTATACTCCAGGAGTGAAGAGTTACTATGTATGTTTATATCTCTAGAATATGCAAAATAAAATTTAGTGTTTTTTTTTTTAATAAAACAGCTATTAAAAACACAGTGTTTAGAAAGAAAAACTAACCAAACTCTTAACCTCTTTGCAGTGTTGCTTATGCCAATATTTCTCTCACTTTTTCTGTAGTGGCCTAACTCCTCTAATTCCTTAAATAATGACATTCTGATTTGAAGGCATAGAAATTAATATCTGCTAATCGAAGATGATTTGTAAGAATCTATGTTGAAAAGTTAGAGTTCAGCTAAGATTCTTGAATAATAAGTTAGTGTGTTTCGAGGTGACTTACTGTGTTAATTCAGTAAAAGAATGTTAAATCCTATGGAATATACCCTAGAATCTTTAAGGAGTGAATTTGAAAACATCTAAGACAAAGAGTTATTTTCTAGGAAAATACATGTTTCTAGTCACAAGAGTGGTAGAATTAGATTCAAAAAAACTACTGGGAAATTAAGTTAAATAACTGTTGGTAGGCAAATCTGTCCTATTCATAGACAAAATCGTGTTTTGGATATAATATTATGAAATAAAGATTGACAAATGTCAGATCTAGCTTATACACACATACACACACTCACCTGTAGTCATCATCAGCTTGACATAGGGTTTTGTTGAAGTCATTTGTAAATCGATTATGTGGAATCAGACCATATTATGAAATGTATCTTTGTTCCTAAGCCGATCCCAAATCATTTTTTTTTGTCTCATGTTTTGTGCTTTTGAAGCTTTGCATGAGAAGTTACAAAGATATTTTTCTTTATTATTGTATATCAACTTTACAGTTTTATATTTCTCATTTAGTTTTTAATCCACTTGGAAGACACTTTGTGATACATTGTAGAGCGATCCAATTTTAGATTTTTCCATATAATAAACCTGATTTCCCAGTACCATTAAGCTAGTCATCTTTCCCAATTGATTTGTGTTGCTACTTTAAATCATATTATGGGCTCACATCTGGAATAGTCTGTCTCTGAAATATTTCTTCTACTCCACTCGTCTTTTTTTCAGTTGTTCTCAAATCACCCTATGTGTGTAACAATGGTTCCAGGCTAAGCGTGTAATATATTTCATGTATAGACCAGACCCTTGTTTTTACGCCTTTTTGCTAAGTTGACTTAGCTATTCATAGACGTGTAATTGTGTTTTCAAAGAAATTAATTTTGTTACTGAAGAAATGCTACTAGAATTTTAATCAGGTTGTATTGAGTTTATAGATTAACTTGAGAAAATTTGACATTTTTATATTAACTCTTATAAAAGAAGATAGCTTATTTCTCCATGTGTTCTGACTATCATCATTCTTAAATGTTTTACTACTGTATTATACTTCAATTAAGAGAAAAGAATGTACAGGGGCATCTGGGTGGCTCAGTTGGTTAAGCAACTGCCTTCAGCTCAGCTCATGATGCCAGGGTCCTGGGATGAGCCCCGTGTCATGCTCCTTGCTCAGCAGAGAGCCTGCTTCTCCCTCTCCCTCTGTCTGCTGCTCTGCCTGCTGCTCTGCCTGCTTGTGCTCTCTCTCTCTGTCTGTCAAATAAATAAATAAATAAATAAGAAAGAGAAAAGAATGTACAGTTTGATGAGTGTTCACAAAGTAAACACATTTATACAGCCAACACTCAAGTCAAGAAATAGAAAATTGCAAATATTCTAAAAGCCCCAGTTTGTGCCCTTTCTCAATCATTATCTACCATCCTCCCCAAAGGTAACCATTATCCTGACTTTTGTCCATTTATGAACTTTACATAAATGAAAAAATTATAGTATGTGTTCTTCTTTGGTTGGCATATATATTTAACATTATCTTTGTAAAATCTGTCCATGATGTTCTATATAACTTATTCATTTCAATGTGTATAATATTCTCTTAGTTAACTATACCATAATTTATATATCCATTCTATTGCTCATGGCCATTTGGATTGTTTCCAGTTTGGAGCTGTTACCAGTAACGTTGTCATGAACATTCTTGTATAAGTGTGTTCACATGTCTATACATGTGTGTTCACAAGTCTGTGCATTTACTTGGGTATATACGTAAGTGGAATTGCCATGTCATATGGTATGTGTATGTTCAGCCTGGATAGATAACGTAAAACAGGTTTTCAAAGTAGTTATACTAATTTGCATTCCCACTAGCAGCGTGTGTTTGGGAGTCCCAAGTAATCTGCATCTTCGGCAATACACTTGATGTTATCAGTCTTCGTGATTGCAGTTACTCTGGTTAGAGTATAATGGTAGCTCATGGTTTGAGTTTGAATCTCCCCAGTGACTAATGAGATTGGTCACATTTTCATATGTTTATTGGCCTTTTGGAAATACTATTTTATTTTTTTAAGGATTTTATTTTTATGTGATTTCCACACCCAACATGGGGCTCAAACTCACAAATCTGAGATCAAGTGTTGCACGCTTCTCTGACTGAGCCAGGTGCCCCCAGAAATGCTATTTTATGAAAAAATTTTTCATGTCTCTTGCTCATCTATTTATTGGATTTTGTAACTTCTTTTTATTGATTATACACACACACTTACATATGTATCTATGTATATATATATAGTGGGTCCTGACCTTTTGTCATCAACTTGTGTTGCAAATAGCCTCTCTTAGTCTATAGATTGACATTTTATTTTTTAAATGGCAGCTTTTGATGAATGGAAGTTTTTAATTTTAGTGTAAGTGTAGTCAGTTAATAATTACTTTCCTTTTTGTGTGTTGTCAAAGATTTTCTTTACTTTAAGCTCATGAAGATGTTCTCTTAGCATCTATCCCATTTGTTTACTCCCTCCTTTAGATCTGCAGTCTACTAGAATTGATGTTTTTTGTATATGATTTGAGATTGAGATCACTGTTTATTTTTTTCTTCTATAGAGCCAATTGGTGCGGTGACTTTGATTGAAAAACTGCTTTTTTCCTACTGCCTTACTGTGCTATATTACTCATAAACAGTGTCCATACATGTGTGGGTGGGTCTCTTTCCATAGCTTCTATTCTGTCCCATTTGACTAATTGTTATCCTTACATTAGTTTCACCCTATCTTAATTAATGCACGTTTGGAATAATACATAATTTATATTGTATATGATAATATGCTGCAAGGGCTGTGGCTCTCAAATTTGGATGCACATGAAACACCTGGAAAATATAAAAAAATAACAATGCTGGATCTCTCCTTAAAGACAAGGATTTAATTATGTAAAAGATACAGTATCAACATCAAGTTTTGGAAAATATCCCTGATGACTATAATATGCAGCCAAATTTGAGAATTATACTATGGAATAAGTTCTTCTAATTTATTATTCTCCTTCAAGTTGGGCAGTTTGAATTTTCGTATACACTTTAGAATTAACTTATCAACTTTCACAAAAGTCTTCTTGGCATTTTGCTTAGCAATGCCTTGCTTTAGAGAGAATTGGCATCATTTTAAATTAAGTCTTCTGACCCATAAACCTGGTATAGCTATCTAGTTATATAGATCTCCTTTCATTTTATAGCTTTTTGTGTGGAGTTCTTATACTTCTTTTTATTCTTAATTTGACTTTTTCATTCCATTACAAATAATATATTTTGGAGACTTTTATTTTCTCTTTGTTATGTTTTTTGAATTCTAAAAATAATACCTTTACGTTATTTTGGATTTGTTATGTACATATTTATTATTATATGAATATTGATGGATCTTATTTCTTCCTTCCAATTATTGTATTATTTTTTCCTTCAGTTAAGGAACTGACTAGTGCTTCTACTGTAATACTGAATAGGAATAATGATTAAAAAATCACAACCACAGAGAGATTTCAGCAATTCACCCTGAAGTATGTTTTAAGTTAAATAAATTTCCATTTTCTGATAATTTTTTAAATCATGAATATCTGTTTAATTTATCACATATTCTTTCTGTGACTTTTGTGATGATTATATGTTTTTTGTATATATTGATTTTTAAAATGTTGAATAAGCCTTTTCCCTGTGGAATAAAACTAACCTGGTCATATAACACTAAATTTGGTTTACTAATTTTTTTTCTTTTAGGATTTTTGTATCTCATTTGGAGAATGAAATTAGCTTATAATTTTTATTTCTTATAGTGTCCTAACCATGTTTTTGTACTGAGTTATGTTGACATTAATAGAATTTCTTGGATGGAGTCTTCTAAAATATGCAAATTTAGTGCTACTTCTCATTTAAATATTTAGTAGACTTTCACATGAAGCCATTCTGACCTGGGATTTCTAATATAGAGATTTTTTAATTATGATTCAGATTTTTAAATAGTAAGGTCTTCCTATGTGCGAGCATAGTTTCTCTCTCATTAAAATAAAAACAAAACCCATCTAGATAAAGTATTAGAGTTCAATAAAATGTCTCCTAGATTAGTTCCTAGATCCACACACGTAAACATATATATATGTATTGCTAAATTGACTGATAATCATATTTCTTCTGTTTTCTTATGGACTATCACTGATATAGAGGAATCAAGTAAATATCAGTGGTACTGATGAACTCTTATTAATTCTAATACTTTATCTTTTTTATTGTGTTGGTTTCCCTAAAACCAATAGATACTGATACCAGTGGAAAGTATCAAGAGTTGCATCTCTTTCCTACTATGTTTTGCAACCTTTTCTTCCCCTTATCTTTATATTGT